CCAGCCCGCCTTTCCTCTCGCTCCAGTCGAGCCCTGCACTCAGTCCACCCCTACACCGAAAGTGCGGTGGAAGCGACGAGCACGTCGGTCCAGCCGCGCGTCTCCTTTTGGCCACGTGATCATGCTCCCTCCCATACGCACGCGAGGAGCGTGGGGTCAGGTGATGAAATGGAGGCCGCTGATTGGGCCGGCGAGCCCGTAACTTCCACCTCTCTGTCAGCTTAGGGGTGACCGGGGAGTATACAGTCGGGCCCTTCTTGAGGCGTCGGCGGCGGTGGTTTCGGCCCATCTTCTGTTTGGACGCGCTTACTCATATCCTGACGTCTGATTGAGCCAGAGGCGCGTTTGTGGCTGCTCGGGAGGGCGAGGATCGACGGAGCGACGACGGCTGCGGCCTCGAGGAGGGTTAATGGCCGACTTGATCGAGGTTTACTGGAGCGGTATGCAGATCAAGCTGCCCGCGGCGGGGGGAAATGATTTGACTGCGGGGGCGGCGGTGAGAGGGCCGAATCTGACGGCTGCTGCTCTCGATCGGCGCCTTCTGCCAATCTGAAACAGTCTTTCCTTTTTTTTTTTTTTTTTTTTTTGTTGCTGGCTGTAAAGAGCGAATTTCGCGGCGTGGTTCTCATGCTTAAGAATGAAAGCGCAGCATATAACGTATCATCTGACTAAAACAAAAAAAAAGTTTCTGCCTTCAAGCAAGCTTTGTTTCGTTTATGTTGGTGAGGCCTTGACAGTGTGAAATAACTCTGATATAATAAATAATCTTTTTCTTATTTAATTTGTTTAGAACCTTAAAAAAATCGCGAATGCTACCGCAACTTGCAAAACAGCTTGCTTCTCAAACCTTGTCCTTGTCATTTTTTTTTTTTTTAGGATAGATTTTTTTACTCTAATCCTCGTGTAAAATCTCTGTGCGGCTAGTGGTTGTTCAACTCGTGGGAAAGAACCGCGTCACTGCGATAAGCAAAAAAATATAATGATAACAAAAAAAGAAAAGAAAGTGAGTGAGTAATGCGGACTTCAGGATAAATGAGTGCCGCTCGGTTCCGCACAAGTCACGTGTTGTTTTCTACGGGGGGAAAGCTAAGCGAGCAAGTCATCCCGCGGGTTTCAACAGCTCCGCGTGGAGTCGAGAAACGCTGGTCCCGAACCCACACAAACCTCCGCACCGCCTTCAATCCGATAAAGATCATCTTCTAGGAAAGAAGCCCCGCAGGGGGCGCTCCTGCATGCGGCTGCCTGCGGCTGCCAAGCGCCGCCCGGGAAAAAGTGGGGAGAGGCGACGTCATTAGTTTGTGCTCTCTTAAGACATGTCTTGTTCCTAAACGCTGTCTACGATTTCAACGCGCGATGACAGACGCTGATAGGGAGATGAGAATAACATCAACATCGGCCGCCACTCCCCTCCCGCTGCTAGGGCCCCTTTTGCAGGATGCGTTACGGTGTTGCCGTTTCGACATCGGCGGAACAACAACGGAGCGAGTCTCTGTCGTTGGTCTGTTTTTTTGTTTTTTTTTTATATATATATGTGTACGTATAAAAAGACGAGGTACACGAGAGCACCATTAAGTTCAAAGGCAAACACAGAGCACGCAAACGCACTCTGGCTCTTTTCAGGAACCGGAGACGGCATAGAAATGTGCACTTTTTGCTGCAAGCGAGCGTTATAGGCTGGAACAAACAGCGTTGGATATTTGGGTTCACCTATGTGTTTTGCGATATATCTTTTTGCTAACCCCGAGCTCGAAGCAACGGTATCGATTTCTACTACGTGCACTTTATGCGACAGGAGAATCTGCTATACGGGTCAGTTTGATGGTTGTCCACTGGGTCGGCACGGGGGAATTATAAGATTTCCCTCGCAGCTTTTGAGAGACACTTATTTTTCCCATTGGCTTCCTCTTACCGTGAAAAGATTATTTACCCTGGCTCCGTCACTCGCATCAATCGCATTACTTGATATCTTAAGCATCTGCAGGGTCTCTAAGCTCGTCAAACACGAAGTTGGGGCCAAAGTTGACGGAGCGCACCGATTGGCCTATCTTCGCGCTTTTTTCACCGACGTTAAGTCGGCACGCTAAGCGAACTTCCTGTTCCAACTTTGTGTTTGACGAGTTTAAGGCACCAGGTGTAGTACAGTCGTGGACATCATGAAAAAGCCCAGGCCTACGAAGACCTCCAGTGCTATCTGAACGGAAGAAAACTGAGTTATCACCGGTGCTATATCGTGTGAACCAGCGGCATGGTAGAAGCTGTTCGATTTTGGTCTTCACTCCCACTTGGTCGGCAAATTGCTGAGTCAACACCGATAGTAGAAGTACTCGTCGAAATAAAATAAAAACCGCTTACCGTCTTTGATCCCGCGAAATTAGTATCGAGCACCCGCAAAAACTGACCGCTCAACCTGCCGACCTGGTGTATTCAACCACGATTCATTTTTCATTTCGTTGTGGGACGCTCCGATATTCAACGAAATCTGCATTAATTCAGCAACTGCGTTTCAAGTTTGGATAGACGACAAGAATTGAACAGGCACCGCAGCCTCGATAATGGTTGAGCTTTCTCCTGATAGCGCGGCCGGCCTTAAAAGCCACGGACTCGCCTGAGCTTTTTCATGTTTTCCGCGGCTGTGCATCATATATACCTCATTTCTATTGAACATGAACCACAACAAAGCTGCAAGCCCGGGACGACTAATATAGTAAATGCGTCTGCAAATTAATAAAGCTATGTCTATGTAGCCTCAAGTCATAGCTCCAGTTTACGCTGTGGTTCACGTAAAAACTGTAAAAGTGCTCGAACATTTTTTTTTTAAAGTAGAGGGTGAGAGTTTGAGGGTTTCTGTCTTCGCCATCTATCTACCAGACTCGACGGACAATAGATGGCGGGATAATCGTCACACTAAGTGGACTAATCAACTAAAATCTTCTACTTAACATTTTAGTTATGGATTTTAAGAGGCATATTAGAATTGCAGTATTGATTGCAAATACTATTAAAGGCCAGACTTATTTAAGAAATTTTCTTTTTAAAGGAATAATCAGTCAGTTTTTGCGTATTTTCGACGACCGATTTAAAAATGCTATGAAACAAGTGACGACATAACCGAAATGACTACGTCACTCTTTCAAGTGTCATTGTGGCAGGAATTGCATGCCACCAAATGCTATGATAAATGTCAAGGGACATTCGGCATACTTTATTTTTTTTTCCATTAAGTTAACTGGATCGTAACGCTCTTTGTTCCTTTACACCAAGTGCGAGTAAGGCAAGCGCCAGCTAGTAAACAATACATCCTACAAGCGCAAGTGAATCCCTTAGGGATCTTTCTAAGTTCATCTGCGGTTTTCACATTCAGTTTGTACGTAGGACTGTAGAGTAGAGAGGAATAAGAAAGAAATATAAAGTTGCTGTAAATATAAAAAAACAAACGTGTTGATTTCGGGAGCTACAGTATAAATTGAGAATGCGTTCCTAGTTAGGAAGTCATATGGCGCTTCCAGATTGGTTTTAATTGTTCGTATCGGAGAATCCAGCGAAGCTTGTCAGCTGCTAGCGAAGATGAGATCGCAATGCCTGACCCTATAGTTTGTTTCTTGGTTTTCTGTAAATGCACACCCTTCGAAAACGTTCCTCTGTTGATTCTAACGACATCCTCACGCAATCAAAGAGGTCCGTTCATTGACCGAATTGGACACCTCGAGCTCGGCAGGTTACGATTTTTTTGCGTTAGGTCGATATCTTGAAAGCACCGCGATTATCCTCTCTACAGTATACAGCAGCAAAAATTCGAAAGTGTATAAAGAATGCTTAGGCAGAACAATCAAAATGAAACAACATAATAATCAGCCAAAGTGTGTTTGTGAAGACGAAGGCTGTTTTACCAACTTTGTTTTCTTTTTGCAGCAAAATACCACCTATCAAAGACAGCTTATTTGCAGAAAGGGTCTTGACGAGCCCAGAAATCACAAACTGAGCCAAGAGCAAACCCAACCTTCCTCTTTCTTCGCCTTCTTCCGTGGTCTCAGTCGCCCTCACCAGGGAAGACTTCGCCCCCTCTCCTTGCATGTCGCACGGATGTTTGACAACCGACCCTCCGAACCGGGAATCCGAGTTCAAGCCCCGTTTACACGATTCGAACTCCGCTCTTGGACCGATGCCCCTCCTTCTCCGGAAAAGGAGGTGGCAGTTCGCGTATTGCTGGCGTCGGTGTTTATTTGCCTCGCCGTTTGTTTCATCACGTTTTTAACGTTTTTTTTTTTTTTTTTGTTTTGTTTTGTTTTTAGTACCTCGTGACTGCCGGTTAAAGCGTGCCTGGCCATTGTCGTAGGCAGGGTTTAAAGCGAGGTTTTCAGCGTCGTTTCTCTTTTTTTTTTTTGAGTAAGGCAGCAAGTATAAATCACTCCCTCTCCACTGCCCCCCCCCCCCCCCAAAAAAAAAAAAAAGAAAGAAAGAAAAAAGGAAATAAATTTATGTCGTTTAATTTTCTTCTCCCCGAAATAAATGGGGAAACAAATTTTTGCTTCGTGCATTGACTGACAGGTTGAGAGCCGCAGGGCTCGTGTTATAAAACCTGGGCCTCCCTGCGTGCTTTGGCGGGGCGCGCACGCTCGAAGTTGACCAGACGCCGAGGCCATTTCAAAACTTGTAGAATATGTTCGCGTTTGAGGCAGGACAATTAAGAGACATCTTTGCCGCTCGCGTCCTCGGAGATCGAGCCGACTAGAGTCACGAATCTCTTAAAAACAGCGATTATAATACCACCCAACCAGAACAGCTTTTTTTATATATATATATATATAGAAAAAAAGGATGGACATACTATATTATAACGCAACAAGGGGCACAAATCGTTGTTCGATCTCTCGTTTCATGTCCACAGACTACTTACTATATAGGGAGCGAGCGGTCGCGGGTGTCCACGTGTTCCCCTTCGTAGCGACCGCGCCATGCGCCTGACGCGGAGAAGAAAATCCGCGAGCGGAAGCGACACTCACCCCAGTCGAAGGCGCACACCCGCTGTATCTGGAGGAGCACAATCCAGGCGGCAGAGACGAGCACTAAAGTCCTCTCCGGTAACGACGCCATGGCCGATGCCTGATGCTGGCCGAGTCAGCCGTCACTCCGCCTTCCTCGGCTCATCGAACGCTGGGCCAGGTGCTGTCGACGTCCATTCTAGAAACGTCACCTGCAGATAGGAAAAACGAAGAAAAGACATTTAGTAACGCCGAGAAATTCCCCTGTCAACGTAGAGTAATTAATTTTTTTTTGTGCGTTATGCACTTCAATTAATTAGGTGCGTCTATTTTCTAGCAAAGCACTTAGGAGAGCTAATCCATGGAGTCGACGGAGAAGTGACCTCGGCGAAATGACGAGCAGGAAATTATGTTTAGACCTAAGAAAGACGTATAAGCGCTGTGACGGAGTTTGGTGTAAGCACGTTATTACGTCATACTCACTGTCACACCGGAGATTGTTTTTCGTTTTTGGTTGTAACATATTTTCTCCGGAGATTACAGTGACTTGCTCTCCCGACTGCTATGCGGGAAAGAAAAAAGGCTCCAGATTTTTTCGAGTGTGGGTCAATGACACAGATATAAGGGTGCTTCCGTTCGGCAAACCGTAAGTCCTAAACAAGGTTGAGTAAATAAAGGGTCGTATTGTGTGCAGCCACTGCGGAGGTTTGAGAATGCGAGTAGGCTACGAAAGAACCACCACATTCGAAAGGAAAGTTTGCTCGATAATAATCAGCAATCTCATGTCGGACAACACAATCTGACCCTTCTCTAAATGTCAGTTTAACGCGTTGCCATTCAGGGATACCAATTTTTGTAATTCTTATCACGAACATACGAAGGAGTAAAGCGCCAAGTGTGGACAAGCTGAGGAATCATATTTTTAGGCGTCTGCAATACAATTATGTCTTTTGTGTGTGTGTGCGCAGCATTACACCGGTCCAATCGACGCACTTGCCGCTCTGGCTTTCTTTTCTTTAACTATGGCGTTACAATGGACCGCGAGTGTCCGACAACTCGTGTTTTGTGTCGCGTCTCTAGCACTTGCTATGTCTGTAAAACTGGTGTAGCTTGCCTCTTTTAACGTTGCAATAAACCACGGGCATCGTACGATTTGTGCTCGAAAACGTTACCTTGTAAATTGATTGGTTGAGTAAAACAACTCTATTTGGCACGCAACCATTACAATTTAAACTTATCTTCTATCTTCCCCCCCCCCCCTTTTTTTTTTTTTCAGTTTAAGCGTGTTACTTCGCGGCTCTAAGAAGCCAATCGCGGAAGTATATAGTTGGATGATTCGGATCACTTTCCCATCAGCCGCTTTTCCCCTACACTGAAAGCCGCAAACATCCGTCCAGCGATAACGACCGGCACAACAAGTTGCTCGCACTCGCCTTTCTTTCACACTCTAAAACACATTGCGGGTGACAAATAAAACACGTTATTCGACCCACCCGGAAAGTGCGGGCGGCGACCGACTGCTAAATTCCAAACCCCCTTCTGCACACGCCATAAAACAAGGGATCGTTTTACGGCACGTCATAACTTGATGTAAGAAGACAAAACGAAACTCGACGCGCGCCCGTCTCCGAGCGCGAACTCGCGACCGCAAACCGCGCTGAACTTGTGCCCCTAGATTTCAGAGTGTTTGCAACCGCCCGGATTAGGGTCTCACGTGATTCATGGGCCGCGTTTACAAGCTGCAAAACTAGCTACAAGAAGCTTCTAAAGGCTTGCCTCAGCCCCTACGTCCGCTATCCACTTGGACACGCGGAAGCAAACGCGTGGGCATGAGCAACCAATTTTCGCAAAAGGTATCCGCCACTGAATTCTGATTCTTTGAGTTGCTTTTTCTCTTTAATCGAGCTTCTCTACCCTGAACGTAAGCGGCGAGCACCGCAGATCCTCGGGAAACTTTGTCCCCACCTCGAATGTCCCCCAAAAGAAGCAATAACAATAAGAAAACGAGAGTCGCAACGACTGCGCCCTATCACGAGGGGGGTTAGAAAAGGGATTGGAGGCGGCGGGCTTCCAAATATAGAGCCGCTGCGTCGAAGAGTGAAGCGCTGGCGCGGCCGCGACGGGGAATGGCTAGCCGACGGCGGCATGTCGAGCGTATAAACATTCCGGGAGCCGCATATCCGTCCCGACGAGTGTCGATATGCGGGACCTTATGAAAATAGCATCGCCGCCTGCCGGCGACGGTCGTCGAGACTTGACCCGGGTTGACTCCAGGGGTTCTCCGCTTCGGAGGGAGGGAAGGAGGCGATCGTGTGAGCATGAAGGATGAGGAGTGCGCTTGATGTATCTGCTTGTGCCCCTGGTTGGCTTCTTGCGCGTTGTCGGAGTGCTCCCACGCGGAGTTGCGAACGATCGGAAGGACTAGGATTAAAAGTAAATTGGTGTGTTTCGTTTTCTTGTCAATCGAACACGATGTTAAAAAAATGCATCACTTATATAACTTGAATTGGTGAACACAAATATCGAAATCTGCCGTCTGTAAAGAAATCTACCAATAAAGAAATGAATTCCCATTTTTTTCTAAAAATATGGCGAAACATAACTAAAATAAGTCAATTCAATGATCAAAGTCTGCCCTCCCATGTAACGAAATCTACAAATTCAGAAATACCTCTCCTCTGAAGTGAGAAATTATGCTCTACGGTTTGTTTCTAGCGTATAGTTAAGTGTAAGTATATCAGATCATGCTCACTCACAGAATAAAAATTAAAAAAAAAAAGAATTTCCAGATCTTGTTTTTTTTAGTGTGTTGTTTTGTGCATACAGCTTCCTGGTCTTTTTCTAATGTTTTAATGTCGTAAAAGGTCTACGATAAAGGCAGAACAAATGAAAGTTCCTCCCTGACCTAGTTTCTTTCTGTATCAGAATCAGCGAACAATGCATCAATCTCAGCGACTGCAGATACGGTACACTGGAGTGCCTTCGTTGCTGAGCTTTCTTTAGTTTTTGCAAAGGTGAGGGGGCTCTGTAGTATAGTAGGGCGGGCACTAAAAAATGAAACCAAAAAAAAGCGTTCATAGCATGAGAGTTAGCTACCGCACATGATGCAAGAGACATTGAAGAAATGATGTCGATAGACAACAAAAAATTCGAAGAAAAGGGAATACGACATGTTAAGAAAAAAAATCATATCACGTTAGCGTTTCTTCCTAGACTAGCTGAGTGATCGGTAGGGACCTATATACTTTAGAGTGCAGTAAAACGAGCCTACTAAGGAAAAAAAGCTGTAAATTACGTGATGAAATTAGTATATGCGCAACCTCAAATATGTCCGCGTGAGCTCCACACTCGCGGGGTAATAAACAGCCAGTGGAACTGGATGTTAATGTAGACACATGCTGGTACGCAAGTCTCGATGAGGTACGAAGAAAGACCATGTACTCTCTCTCAAGAATCCTTCACAGCACCGTAAAACTCACGGAAGAGCGAACGCCAGATTAGAAGCTAATATAAAGCTATCGCTTTCGTCCAACCCTCGAGGGACACGCTTCAAGGACAAATTACGGTAGCGAAAAAAGAAGAAAAACAACAACAACAACAATGTAATTTTGTAATTACGAAGTGAAACCTTTTGCGTGCGACGTCATTGTTAGCAGGTCCTGTAGTCGGACTTGTAGGTAAGTGAGCACTGATCTCATGCGTTTCATGGTTCGAAGTTGAACATGTTAGTTGAGCGAGAGTTTCCGAGTTAGAGAGCTATGAAAAAGCTAACGTAACGGATGGATACTAGAGAGCAGGTCCGTCTGCGATAGCTTCACTATACTGTAAGACTCCTAATGTTCATGAGCCCCTGATTTGCTCGATGTTCACGACCTATAAAATTGGCGAAATTTAGCGGAGGGAAGGGGGCGAATATTTCTATTGTCTAGAGAGGTGAATTCCTGCTTTAAGAATTTGCGAACTTAATATTTAATTGTCGCAAACATGACCCCGCTGCCGAATTCGTAAAAATTTGGGGCAGCAAAAATAAAGGGTTTTACATAGCGCTATATCCTGTCTAAGTTCTTTATTCCTTGTTTTTGCGCTAATTTCACCAGGATGCGTAGCTAACTAGCACACCGAAGATTTCAGTACGGTTTTACATACTTCGTAGCCGCCATGTCCAACAAGCTAAATGTAGCTGTCCAAAAAACGTCTTCTATATTTTTTTTTTTTTGTAAACGGTTGTCGGCCGTTCTTTCTGAAAGAAACACTGCCCCCTCCCCCTTCTTTCAAATCAACAAACTTTTTTTAAATTTTTTTCATGCGATTTATAATGGTGCCAGGAGACTATCCATCCAATATTTGGCTACAGTCAAGTATATTTTTAATAAAGCTAAAAAAACTTCAAATGCTCGAAGCCGAAACCGAAACACGAGCACGGAAGGTCGTGGGCAGAACTCTCCATCCGACAGCGTTATGTTTTTTTGTTTTTCTCCGCTTCTCCGGCGCGTGAAGCAGATGACGAAAAGGACGAATTCCCGTGTACCGTTTTGTCGTGTGATTGATTTGCACTTCTATCCCTTCCGCTCGATGTTCTGTATGCTTGAAGATCGATTAGCCGATACCAGGAACGACAATTCCAAAGTAGCGGCGCTACGTCCGTTACAACGTGGATCCGTCGTGAACCGCCATTGTGTCGTCCATCCTGCGGTACGTCGCCATATTGAGAATAACGCGTATACGTACTTTCTGTGATCTGTAAAACATTTCTTTTTTATCAATGTATTTTCAGCTTTTCGGAGGCTACAAAAATGGAATTCGTGTTCATTTTTATTTTAATATTAAGTGCGTGCCTTAGGTGGCCTACTACTTGGTATGTATTTGGTAGACATAGTCTGAACAGTATGTGACCTCGGAAAAAGAGAGTGAGCGCAACTGAAACCGGTCAATTCTCGACCGGCTGTATTCGGGCGGAAAGAAAACGAATTTCGAGCCTTAAATTCTGTTCGGGGTATAGTTGGGCTCTTTTACGTCATGTTCAAATGAAAACCTCGGCGACCGTAAATACCCTGTCAGCGTCCTTTTAACACGTGGCGAGAAAATACTTCAAAATTAAGTACACAAACGTGAAAGGTACACAGAAACCGCAGGAAAATAATATACTTCGAACCATTCACTTTTAAACTTTTTAACGTTACTCAAATTGTCGACCGCAAAGTTCATCGATTGC